GTCAAAAATTTTTAACAGAGTTCCATCAAAATTGAGACGTTTGAATATTGTAACATTCAAAAAAAAAATTAAAATTTGGTTTTTGGATAATGCAAAAGAAATTGATAATCTCTTCAAATAATTTTTTTTTTCTGTTTGTGTGCTTTGTATATATTGAATTTATAATCAATATTTAATCTAAATATTTTTAAGAACTTGAAAATTTTTTAAAAAAATTTAAAATAATTATCTAATTCACACACAGGTCAATAACCTATGTGAAGTAGATAAAATTAAGAATTTTTATAATATTAGAATATGTATGTCTTTGTAAATGTATTCATATGAGAATAAATAAATAAATAAATAAATAAATTCATACAATATATACAAGTTATATTCCAATAAAATATTCTAAATATCCCAGCATCTTGACAAAGAACCCTGAACAATAGAATACCATATATCTGAGGATGATTCCTATACAATCTTGAAATCACTTTACTCTAGTGAAATTCTGAGTGGCTCACTACGAAAATGGTCCTGAGTGTGCTGGAGTGGAATATCACAGGTTCCTCATCATCTAGTTGATCGCTTGAAAAATGGATAAATTGAATATACATTGGGGTGTGTATAATTTGTAGCCTAGAATGAAATGCCTGGCTATTTCCAGCAAACAAATCGTTGTTCTTACTGCTTATCTGGATTCAGCTCATCGAACTACAGGATGAAAAGTTTCTGATTTTATTCACTGCCCCATTTTCTTGTGTGTTTTTTCATAAAATCTTGTGAACTGGATATTTTTGCAGCTCGACTTTCAAGGAGGTACCTATCTTTAAAAAATATAATGATATTTTGTGTTTGGAGCAGAATATCCATGAGACATTGATGAAATAACCAGATTGAGTCTAACCTTATAGTGCTTCTATACAGGGTGTAACTGAATAAGTGTAAAACATTTGAGGGGCTGATTCCTCATCGAAAAAAAGATGTGATCTTTCATATAAAGCAACTTCATTGGGGCATCCCATGTTAAGATACAGCCCCTTGAAGGGGGTACATAAAATTTGTTCAAAAATTTTTTTCGCAAGCACTAAAAAAGTTACAGTATTGAAATTAACCTGACATTTTCTACTACGAATAAGACACTTAGCCAGTAATTTATTTGGTTCACCGCATGGTTGTGAGGGGTGGAAAACGCAACACCTAAATTTTATTTCCAATGTAACTTTTCGTCTTATTAATTGTTTACCATTTAAAAATTTATTTCCGATAACCTGTTTCATTCTAAATGAAAAATGTCCCTTGAATTTTTTGCCCAAAATAAACCAGTTGGCAGCAAAAAAATATGTTACGATCAACTACAGAGATACATCGACATAAATGCGAACTGGATTTATTGTCATTTTGTAGTTACTACCTGCGTTAAATAATTAAAGGGATTAAACCATGGGGTGAACCAAATGAATTACTGGCTAAGTGTCTTTTTGGTAGCAGAAAATGTCAGGTCAATTTGAATTCTATAACTTTTTTAGTGCTTGTGAAAAAATTGTTAAACAATTTTTATGTACCCCCTTCAAGGGGCTTTATCTTGACATGGGATGCTCCAACGAAGTTTCTTTATATGGAAGATTTTATCTCTTTTTCGATGAGGAATCACCCCCTTAAATGTTTTACACTCATTTAGTTACACCCTGTATATTTATTTCAGATGGTAAATTTTCCATTCTGTTCTGGAACATCATCATCCTTCTGGTACATTCCTTCTGAACATTACTCACATAATGATTTCTAATGTGATACTTCCACATCACTCATAGTTTTCCGTTTTTCAACTGAAAAGCTATTAATGTAAGTACTCTTATTCGCTGTAGGTAGGTACCTGAAATTTTCAAGTATATAGTGATTTCGATGTGTACATGGTTTACATCACTAAAGACATGTTTTCACTGCAAATAATGGAATTTCACGAATTATAGAGTAACTTATCAAAAATATAGAAGGAAAAAAGCAGCCCCTACCTTTCTGCTTGGCTTGCATGTCGAAAAAGTGTAATAGCACTATTGAGTTTCCGAAGTTTCCACAGTTCCAACTTAAATTCAAGTTGCATCATGAATCATACTAATACAGCATTTCCTAAACATCTTCCTGCTTCCATTCAAGTATAGGTAGATGGTTTTCATACTTGATAATATCCTTCGTGATAATGTTTCATTTTCGGGATTCCACATGACAGATTTTTATTTACAAACTTGACAGGACCATGAAAAATGTTACGGTTAGGTCTGACAAATGAATAACTTAGTTTACTTGGTTCACATTGATGTCTCTGTACTACTGAACGCCTTCATTTATTTTTTCAAAGAACAGACAATATTATGCTCTCGCCTACTAACTACCTAACTAGGTTTCCATTTAGATCGACAATGGTTTCCATAATTATCAAAATAAAGTTGATGCACTCCAACTAAATGTTAATGATAGCATTGTAAGCACCTGCTGCAAAGTGAAATTTCTGGGAATTTATATGGACGAGTTTTTGAATTTGAACACACATTGTGAACAGTTAGTCTCTAAGCTGAGCTCAATAATTTATATATTCAAAAACTTGAACACTGTTTTAGATTCGAATCAATTGATACGCATATATTATGCCCAAGTAGAAGCTAGGTTACGTTACGGTGTTTGTTTGTGGGGCAACTCATCAATGGGCAACAATGTTTTTATTAAACAAAAAGCCATTATAAGGTGCATATTTAAAACTCCTAAACGCAGCTCATGCAGGCCACTATTTCATGATCATGAAATTTTAACTCTTATCGGCCTATTCATTTATGAATTGTCAATATACATATATATCAACAGAAACGACTTCACACTCAACAGTGATATCCATAAAATTAATACTCGTCAAAAACATTTCATTCACACAAAAATGGCTAAGTATAAAATCTCTCCAAATCTCATTGGGCCAAAAATATTCAATCGTCTACCAGAAGAAATAAAATCCAAAAATGACCTTAAAACATTCAAAAGGAGTCTCAAGTCCTTTCTGCTTGATAAATGTTTTTATACACTTGACGAGTTTTTATATGATCAAAAGTAAATTCACAGAACTAACTGTATCTCACTCCTTATAGTTTCTTTGGTATAGTTTTTATCTTTCATTGTGTCTTATATGTTTGTTTTTCGTCCCCTAGCATTAAGTTTTTCTTGACAATTCCTATACAAATCTGTAATTTGTCATTTGAAGGAAATAAACTGATCTATCTATCTATCTAAGATCGCAGTTGCCACCACCTGTTCTGAATTCAGGCCTAATCGGTTTGAAAAATATCGGGAACACTTGTTTCATGAACAGCGTCGTTCAATGCCTGTCTCAAACTGAGTGGCTGTTGGAATATTTGAGGAAGAATGCTTACTTCAATGATCTGAACAAGAGGTCATCAAGCAAGAAGGAGACTCTGATAAAAGCATTTGCAGACGTTATAGAGTAGCTTTGGTCGAACGATCCGAGTCGTATGTTTGGACGATCTGAAACTTCGGATTCAAAGGTTCGCACCTCAATTCAGAGGCTCCTCGCAACAGGATGCACAAGAAGTTATTTGTTACTTGCTGGAGGGCTGCACGAGGATGTCAACATGCTCGTAGATGAACCGAACCCGAACCCAAAGCCAGTACTCATGGAAATGAACAAATCATTTAGTGTTAATGTCGAAGCAATGGATTCGTGGTCGAGATTCTTGATAATGAATAAATCTAAGTTCGTCGATAATTTTGTCGGGCAGTTGAAGTCTACTTTGAGATGCACCTTCTGTGGCAATTGTTCGGAGACATACGATCCATTTTGAGAGTAGTCTTTACCGATACCACAGCGATCAGGCCAACTCATCCACAAGTTCCCAAAAATTTTAGTTATACATCTGAAACGTTTCTCGCAGACTGTAGAGTTCAGTGAGAAACTAAACACATTTGTCGACTTCCCCTTGATCGGCTTGGACATGAGCTCCTATGCAGCTGAAGATATCGTACCATGTCCTTACAATCTGTACGCTATCTCGAACCACAGCGGTACCACCTACAGCGGACACTACACAGCCAACTGCAAACATCTATATAGGAAATATTGGCACGAGTACAATGATTCTCTGGTTTCTCCGATTTCGTCGAATTCTCTCGTCAGTGGGGATGCTTATATTTTTTTTACCAACAAGAGGCTCACCCCAAATACGAAAAACGTGATGGTGACTCTGTGAAGAGCTACTGCTCCGTAGCTGATCCAGATAGCACTCTTCGTACTGTCCACTATTCCACTGATAACCACTACATGTTCAACACAGTCGTGGAGAAGCATGAAACTCCAGTTTACCTAGCTCCAGCTGCACACTCTGCCCCAGTAGAGAATGTATACTCTGTCCCAGTACTGAAAGTATACTCTGCCCCAGTACAGAAGGTATATTCTGCCCCACTTGCTTGCTCCAGTACGTGCAGCCCAGTATGTGCACGCTGCCCCAGCCGTGCCTTCTGTTCCAGCTCGCTTGTGGAGTGAATGAAGTGGAAATCCATTATTTATTTATTATGTTATGTTTATATGTTTATTCAATTTGGAATATATTCATTTAGATTTATACAATTCTATAGGGGAATTCTTACAGCAATCAATAAATAGTGCAATTTGATGAATGATTCGAAAAAAAAACTTAATACTGCAACAAACAAACTTAAACTTTCATATTCCATCACCAACCACTTATATTTTGCGATAATATCATATCATTGTTTTTTTTCCGCACTAGTGTGGGAAACATTTTCCCGAGCCAACAGCTCGAAACCGGTATGCAGGTAGTCACGCGTTCCTGAACGACTTAGGCGCAGCTAGGCGTTTAGGAAGGAAACAAATGCGATTTTATTCGTCTATACGAATTATTGTATAGATTTCGGAAGGATTTAATCCAATGTTCTGCGTGGCATATAGCCAAGAAAATAGTTGTTTTTCTCTCGTTGACTACCATTTTCATTCATATTATGAACTATTGTGGTAATGACTGAGTTTCTCTCTTTTGTGAATGAGATGACTCTTTGGCCTCATGGGAACTTTTAATAATAGTATGTATTACTTGCGTTTTAGGTGAGTTGACTCATGTTCTGAATCTTTCCAAACCAAAAGTGATATTTTGCTCCAGCAAAACAATCGACAAAATGTTGAATATTCTACCGCAACATCCTCACATACAAAAATTAGTTTTATTCGGAAACGAACAAGTCCGTTCCGAAAATGTCGTCAGATACCAAGACATTGTAAATGGCGCCGATTCAGAGGAAGTCGACGAGGAATACAGCGTGACGTCATTGGACCCGAAAGAAGCCGTCGCCACCATTTTGTGTTCCTCGGGAACCACCGGCATGCCTAAAGGTGTGATGTGTACGCACGATAGTATGACAGCTTACATTGACATTTCCAGGTGGGTAAGATAGAGGCTAAATTCCGAATTCACCTGACAGCATACTGAATCTGCTGATTTTTCATTCCGAAAAAATTCACTGAACGTGACAGATACTTGTTAGCAGACTAAGGTATTTTTTCGCGAGTTCCCGTTGATCAGCCACCGGTAATAGAGCGGTTATACCCCCATAAAAAAATAAACCGAAGGCCGTTCATCCTTTGATTTCTCACGAAAATGAACCGGTTAACCGTTCAGATTTCTGTCAGCTGGGGTTTTTGTTTTCGATCATAATATATGATCATAATAAATGGACAGTTGCATTTTGGTTGCATGATCGTTGGCTCCGGCCGCTCCGGTGGCTCAACAAATAGCATCTCATCAATGATTGATGATTTTTTTGATTCAACTTCGATTGTACTTGTCTCATCCCATTCAACTTTTCAAAGTACAATTATAGAGCCACGATTTTCAGAAAGTTATTTTCATCCTAGAGTGAATCATGGACTGGATAAATAAATATAATGAAGTAGTATTTTTTCAGCTATGTCGAATGAAAAGAACAACTTTTTGAACGTTATTGACTGTTATGTTACAGAATGACCAACACTGTTTGGTAAAAAAAAGTATAGGGGTGAAAATTTTCCATTTGCTCCTGAAAAAAATTCATTAATATTTTTGTGGTATATCGCTCATAATGATCCCCTCTATCTATTGGTGTTCTTGTTGGTGTTCTTCCATTTCTTGATTTAAAAAGTGAGTAGTAGGTATCTCAAACATAGTTTGAATAATTATAAATATGTTTACTTTTAATAATCAAATAATACTTCAAAAATAATGATACAATGTCACTTGTCAATTACTATAACCGCCAGTAACCATGTTCACAGATGCGGGAACTAGAACAGTTCCCGTTTTATAAATTGTGACGTCACTGATGACGTAATTATCATACTACCATTATGACGCGAAAATGCAACGGGAACTGAATATCAGTTCCCGGCAAATCAACGGGATCTCGCGAAAAAATACCTATACTAAACTGGTCAACATTGATAACGTCGTGGTCCGAAATATAGCCTGAATTCAAAGAATTTACGAATTTATTTACCAATTTGAAATCGGTTTTCACCGATGATCAGCCTAATCTCTTGTTGTGGCAATATGAAACTTCTGTAATTTCAGACAACATTGCTACAGGGTGATAATTGAATGGGTGTAAAATTGCATCGTGGTCGTCACCTTACCGTTTGAACAGATACTATTTTTATTTTTTTCACCACCTGTATCCTCTTGATTGATGCTTTCTCTCGAAACGTTTTCGGAATTTCCAAATTCAGAGCTTTGATAATCGTGTTATGATATATGTTATTTATAATTTATCTCAACGAAAATGCATCATTTTGATTAAAAATGCGTACCTTCATTATACGACCTTCGATCCGAGAAATTACAAAACCATTTCGAGGTCAGACACCAGACATCCTTATTTATGTTTCATCTACTGAAGACTACGTTATCCTTCATTCCATCAACCAGTATTTCTCGTATCACTTTGTATAGACTTCTACAGAATTTTCTGTGTTCGAACACAATCACATATCCGACGACTATACATACAACGTTGATTCTTCGAAGAAGAATTCCAACTTCCAATTTCATTCAATTAATCGTCGAAAAAATGCATCATTTTGAATGAATATTCCTAACACGATTATCAAAGCTCTGAATTTGAAAATTCCGAAAACAATCCGAGAGAAAGCATCGATCAAGAGGATACAGGTGAGAAAAAAAAATGATCTGTTCAAACGGTAAGGTGCAATTTTACACTCATTCAATTATCACCCTGTAACAATGTTATCTAAAATCACAGAAATTGCATATTGCCACAACGAACTGTCAAGAGAATAGGCTAATCATCCGTGGAAACCGATTTCAAATTGGTAAGGAAATTAGAATAGAATAGAAAAACATTTATTGTGTAAATATCTTACATCATATAAATATAATATAAATATACTACACAAAAGGTGGCATTCGTTTAAACATTCTACCATACCACCACACGTTATGAGTAAAAAGCTCAAAATAATGAAATCTAGATGGTTAACATTCATAAAAACACTAACGAAAACAACAATGTCTTGAATATAAAAAAAAAAAAAAATCAAATAGAGTTAATTAGTTAATTAATATATACTTTTGACTAAGTTTTTATCACATTCTATGTCTGAATACTTAAAAGGTAGTCTCTCCATATTCTTCTAAAGCTAGCTACAGATCTGTTCTGAGTTCTAAGATAGTATTCTGGATTATTTGAAAATTCTATTGATACATAGGCAAAACAGTATTCCAATTTGGTGGTATTGTGCTGTGAGATGTTATATCTTATAATGTTCCTAAGGTTATGCTGGTTATGTAGTTCATGACGTGGAGTTAGAAAATCTGCTAAATATGCTGGTTTATTATCATCTATGATTTTATTTAAAAATACTCCAAATAGTAGTTGATAACGATATTCAATTTTCAGGATGTTGTTGCTGTTATATACAGGGGTTATAGGATCATATTTGTAAATGTTGTGTACATATCGGATACAGGCATTTTGTAAAAGTTGTAATTCGTTTTTATATTCTTTTGTTAAAAACTTATAATAAATTGTGATACAGAAATCTATTTGTAGAAATAATAGACTTTCGATTAATTTCAATTTGATTCGTTTATCCAATATGAATTTAAATTTGTGAATTGACTTCAGCTTCATATACATTAGTGATATTTTTTTGTTCACATGAGGTTCAAAATTAAAATTGGAATCAAATATCAGTCCTAGTTTTCTAGCACTTTCCTTATAGGGTATTTCATTGTTCTTGATATGTAAAGTAGTGAAGTTGTGCTGAAAGAATTTATGCCTGATTGTACTTGAGCCAATAATTAGGAAACAGCTTTTTGTTGGGTTCAGTCTCAGTCCATGATCATTTGACCAGTCAACTATTCTGTCGAGATCTCCATTTATTAGGTATAATGTTTCACTAGCCTCTACTGGATCGAAAGTTATTCTACTTTGAATTCAGACTATATGTTGGACCACGACGTTATCGATGTTGACCTGTTTGTATGCACATTCGAATTGAAGTCACGGATTTGTGTTCTTGCCTATTGTCGAATGGTTGAAAATATTTTTCAATAAATAATTAGTAGAAAAATAAAAATAAATGAATAAATAAAATATGTTGGACAAGCTCTTGTTACGTGGTCTTCGCCTTTCCTCTTTCTTGTGGTAAGAATGAAATATTTTTTGCAGGAATATAATGGGCGATATAGTGGATAATGACGATCCTAGTGACGCAATGATGGGACTTATACCTTTTTTCCACTCGTTCGGTTTCATGTTGATGTTCTTGAATCTTTTGAGAGGTAAAACGATGGTGGTCCTCGGTAAATTCAAGCCGAAGATATTTCTCGATGCCGTAGTAAATTATAAGGTAATTACTTCGTACAGGATGGAATAGAAATTAGATAGAATAAAGTCCGGATGATGACGAAGTCATTGGCCATGTCGTCATTCAGTTGTTTTTCATTTTTGACTTTTATGTTAGACATTTGGATCGGAGATATGGTTGATCGGAACGCATATTTTCACTTAGAAGTCTCTCTGGTTTCAACGGATATCGAGCTAGGTTGAGAATTTTGAATGGAACCCTGTTGATATGTTTACGTCATTCGATAAAGTGAGAAAATAGTTACTTATGCAACAAGTGCAAAAACGGCCTCGTCGGACAATTTCACGTCGAGTGCAATAAACAATTTTTGCACGAGTTGCATACAACATCGTTTCTACGTTCATGCAAAAAGCAAAAAATGATTTATTGAGGTGCGGCACTAGGTGTTGGAAAATGAAAAACACAACTTAAATACTTTATTATTAATATCGATTTGCATTGAAACAGGAACTAATACGTTACGAACAATTTAACACAAACTTCATCTTTACCCCCAATGTTGAAAGTGAATGAATAATTGGTGCAATTTTCAATATGAATATATGACGTTTCTATAACCACAGTTGCAATACAAAAAATGTTTGTCATGATGACAGCACGTTGAAGTAGAATGACAGATGAGTGCAATAAAAACTTTATTGCACTAAGCGCAATAAAGAACTTCTTTTTCCACTAAATATAGTTCAATAAAGTTCTGCTTTTTGCATGAATGTAGAAAAAAACCTTTTTAATACCATAACTCAAAAGATTTAACCGAAATAACTTAGATAACTGTTTCTGTTTCTTGTCTGAGTTTTATTATTTATTATATTCAAAAATTCACCCTGTAACAGTTTCTCTGTTATGTTATTATGTTTTTTTTTAATATGGATTGAAGTTTCATTTGCGAAATGAATGCAATCCAATGATCCAAAACATCGACATAATTAAAATAATTGTGCAGCTCCATGTTTAACCGTGTTTAATTTGAAATATCTCGAAAAATGATGATTTTATCGCTATGAAGGAAGTACAATATTCGCGTGGAAAGAATGGAAAAATTGTGACAAAATGGCGATTTCGCCAGTGGTGTAAAATTTGGAAAAGTCCACTTCCACTTCCCGCCAATGACACGTCAATCAGTTTGAAAGTAATAGGCACAAATAATTTTTAAATTTTCAAATAAAACACCCTGTAAATCAGACAGGAAACACATTTCATCATATTTTGAGCTCAACTTTAACTTCATATTGGTAAGGAATTCTCAAATCCATGAACATCATACTAGCATATACTAGAAAATATGACTTGTTTCATCTTGATGCTGCTATTTCTACACTTGGCCAAAAAAAGTTTACTCACGGAGCTATCTCAAAATTTAATAAATTACCTGATGATATCAAAAATTGCACAAATATCACCCAATTCGAAATAAAGTCAAGAAACATATCCTCTTGCAAAGTGAGAATCAAACTTGAGTGAATGATTTCTTATTAACTAATTTAATTCATCGTGTCATGATGTACTTTTTCTACAAACGTCAAAAAATGACAAGGTTCGCGCATTGATAACAAATTGCAAAGTGACACTTTTTTTTCCAGTTTCCTACGTTACCATGATACCTTGCACAAAACAATGCGCGAAGTAAAACAGTGCGCGAAGTACCTAATTCGCGCACTGTTATGTAAAGTATATGAGATATTTATATTTCAACTTTATGGTCCTCGAAAAGGAATATTCTCAGATAAATTATGAACATACAAAAATGGATATATATTTATATAAAGCAATACATTGAGAATTCGCATTCTCTATGTGATGAGAATATTTACTCTTTTTCAGTTAATTCAATAGAAAACAACTACTTTCCTGGCTATATGCCACGACGAACATTGAATTATATCTATTGAACACACACGATAAGATTTTGAAAATAAAATATATAAAAAAAAAAAATTCTGAAATTGAGAATTTGCATTCTCCTTCAGACAAAAAATATGAATATACACACATCATTCTGAATATTCAACAGAAAACAACTACTTTCCTGGCTATTTGCCACGTCGAACATTGAATTGTATCTGATGAACATTCAAAAGGGGAACATGAAAAATAAAGAATAAAATCCTCCGAAATTGAGAATTGACATTCTTCTTCAAATCGGCATATAGCCAGGAAAGTAGTTGTTTTCTATTGAATTAACTGAAAAAGAGTAAATATTCTCATCACATAGAGAATGCGAATTCTCAATGTATTGCTTAATATAAATATATATCCATTTTTGTATGTTCATAATTTATCTGAGAATATTCCTTTTCAACACTTTCATACCCAATCAGGGGGTTCAAACTTGAACGATGGAAACTTGTGATTTTTATAGACCTCTAATCGCAGATTCGTGATAGAGTCTCAATTCAGAATTCATTTCCACGCCCTGTATGATGAATGTCAATTTATCATACACCCAAAAGCATTTATGGTCCTCAATCGAGCAAACATCAACGAAATCATTTATTTCTGAATGTTGAACAATAACTTTGTTTTATCTCTTGGTGCGCACGCAAGGAAATTCCTATTATGTTCGTGGAACACTGTGCGTATCTAGGGAGGGTAGGGGATGCCTTTTGTTCAACACTATTTTTTATATCAAGCTAAGCATATTTTTACTTTAGAACTATATTTTTAGACATTTGTAGAAAAAATGTTGTTTGCAACTCGAGCGCGAAATACTTTGGTCATCTCGACTATTTTTTTAATTCGGCTGCGCCTCGTTAAAAAAATCAGATCTCGATCACCAAAGAAGCATTTCGCGCTCTAGATACAAAAATAACTATTTTCTACAAACGTCAAAAAATGACAAGGTTCGCGCATTGATAACAAATTGCGAAGTGACACTTTTTTTCAGTTTCCTACGTTACCATGATACCTTGCACAAAACAATGCGCGAAGTAAAACAGTGTGCGAAGTACCTACTTCGCGCATTGTTATTTAAAATATATGAGATATTTATATTTCAACTTTATGGTCCTCAATCGAGCAAACATCAACGAAATCATTTATTTCATCTTTTGGAGCGCAACGAAAGGAAATTCCTATTATGTTCGTGGAACATCAGGCGTACCTAGGGATGATAGGGGGAGGCCTTTTAAGCCAGTTCAACACTATTTTTTATATCAAGCTAGGCATATTTTTACCTTACAACTATATTTTTTGACGTTTGTAGAAAAAAATGATGTTTGCAACTCGAGTGCAAAATACTTTGCTCATCTCGACTATTTTTTTAACCCGGCTACGCCTCGTTAAAAAAATCAGATCTCGATCACCAAAGTAGCATTTCGCGCTCTAGATACAAAAATAACTATTCATGAGCTTTTCGTTTTATTTTTATTATTTTTGAATATGTTGTTTATTTCAATAACTTGGATTTAATTACGCATGAATAATCTCATACCAGATATTAATCTGTCTGATTATTCATGTTATTTCATTGTAAATCTGAATAAAATATATTCATATTTCTATGAGATGCACTGTAATGTTTATAGCAAAGAATGAAATAAATATTTTTATCATTATTATTATTAGAGTTGAAATATCTTTAATTAGTGATGAAACACCCTGTATATTCCAGGTTGCTAGGTTGATAGTTCCTCCCCCCGTTTTATTATTTTTGCTAAAAAGTCCCATGGTGAAAAACTATGATTTGTCCTGTATCAAAGAGATGCGAAGCGGAGCAGCTCCGATGGGCAAAGATATGGAAAAAGAACTAAAAAGCAGGTAAGAAAATCAGTATTCACTGAGAATTCTTGAGGAGAAAGAATTGCTCGAATGACAGCTTGTATTATTTTCTAAAATTATTTACGGGTCTAGAACAATAGACTACTGAACTGTTTTTGGATTTTTCACATTCAACAATGAACCTTTCCAGTCATTTCTAGAAAAAATATATCTCGAAAAATATGGCTCTAGAATGAATTGAAAAAATTTTTTGAATTTTTTTTTGGTATCAATTTATCGTACAAAAAATTATTGAACGATCAGACATGGCTGTGAAACGTGTGACGTCAGTGCACGAACAATTTGGATTGGTAAAGCCCGCACCTTCTCGCGGGTGCCTAGAAAAATAATAAAATGCACAATGGACTTGACAATGATGCCAATTTGGACAGAAAACTATGATTAGTCAGATATTCATTCCTCGAGTTTTTCATTTCAGCAAATGATCCAGACGCTGTTAGATAACTCAATAATATACCTACCTACCCGAAAGTACGAGATAGTGAAAATTGCATTGCAAAATTAGTTAAATAGTTGATGTTTGTTGGTGGATTATTGAAAATCGTAAATGAAATTTCATTTCATTTCATTTGTATTGAATTAAAGTGCAGACCCAGCGAGCACAAAAACATCTCAGATATGTTAAAAGTACGAGATTTCGAGACATTGAACCTCCACTGCGATGTTCTGTTTACACATGAATAGAACTATTATAGAACAGCCAATGTCCGCCGCAGGCGGCAATTATCGAGATGTCCTTGATATGTCACAAAACTACCTTCTCCCTAGTTCCTTTCAAAGCCTTTTCATGGACACAACAAAACATTTTCAACGCGTCTTGCGCACATTAAATCGCTGTAAAAAACATTTTCGAGGTACTTTTCTGAAGCCTTTTGTCAAAATGAACTTTTGCATTAGGATTCCATTTCCCTTGAATGAAAAAATGCATTAAAAATAGATTGAACATAATAATATTTTCTTAATCGGTTTCTGAGTAGTGCTTACTACACACAGACATATAATTGGAAATAGGTTTCCCAATTTTTGAAATGTTCTCCACAATGCATAATTTTGCAACTGCGGAGAAGCTGTGTATTGATAAATTCGTACTTTTATATATTGATTACACTGAGGCACCGAACGACATCTTGCATCTGATGGTCATTATTACAAACTAAATAAGTCTTCTAACACAATAAACTTCACCAAATTCCTTTCTGTTCGTTAGCAGCGTGATGTAAGCGTGACACGCTGCAAACGCGAATGCCAATTGCGAACAAGAAGAACAAAATCGAAAACAGATCAGAATTCATCGTATTGTGACGTAAGCATGAGACGTTGTGGTGGGGCAAACAAAGAAAGGGCACAAAAGAACAAAAACAATACTTTCAATATCCTTCTAAAACCTCTTTGGGAAGTGCATATTACGCCTCAAAAAAACATCCTCATGCCTACATTTCTAAAACATCCCAAAACATCCCAGGGATACCTCTCAGTAGGCAAACAAAGAAATGCCACAGAAGAACAAAAACAATACTTCAATATCCTTCGAAGACCTCTTTGGTCAGTGCATATTACGTCTCAAAATAACATCTTCATGCAAACATTTTCAAAACATCCCAAAACATCCCAGGGATGTTTGTGCTCGCTGGGGATATTCATTTCATTCAGGTTCAGATCCTTTCCAATAAAGTATTTTCAAGTTTAGGTACTCACCTATATGTATATACGTATCTACCTATACCTACCTATCATAGGAAAAGGTACAAAATTTGAATCAATCAATAATAAATTGCTCACCTGGTTCAATTTTCTATTGATTTCAGTAGAAACATCACTGCATTCTTGTTAATAATATTGAGAAATGAGAACTGTGAAGGTTTGCGAAGAATGGGGTATTTTCACTTGGCAACATTGTGTTAGCGCGAGTTGCTTCAACTTTTTCTCTTGTAAACATAGTTGCCACATCAGCAATTTAATTCTCCAGGAATGACTACTTGATATATAGTAACACTGCGTAATTTGTTAATTATAATAATTACTCAACTAAATCAACTAAATCATAACATCACTCAAACCCAACAGAAGAATAAAGGTTTCTCGCAATAATTTAGTTGAACCTGCGATAACTACATCATTGCTCATGTTGAGAAAATATATAATCTTACTTACCGTCGAAATACTTATTTGGGGTTTGAATGGTGAACTTTTTCACAATCCACGCACTGGCGAACCATAATAAACTTTAATAATCTTCGTCACATAGTTTTATATCAAGAAATACTGAAAATTGAAATTCCAAAAGCCCTAAAATGGTAACAAACACAGCACAACAACACTGTAACGTCGGATTTTGATGTACGTGAATGATTTTCAAAAAAAAAATATGCGTTACTCGTAGTTAACACGCCAATGCAGCCTTATTTCCATTCAAATTCAAAAAATGGGAATTATAAAAATGATGATGATGATGATTTGTTGCAGGTTCAGAGTGAAACACGTTTCCCAAGGTTACGGCATGACCGAAACGACATTAGGAGTGCTCGTTTCACCTCACGGTAAAAGTAAAATCGGATCGTGCGGTAAAATTGTTCCCGGAATGATGGCAAAGGTAAATATTGAACTACACAATGGTTATCTATACTAATATTATGAAGAGGAGAGATTTGATTGTTTGTTTGTTTGAATTCAATATGCTCCGTATTCGAGCTCATACAATTTAAGAACCGTATTATGACCCCTAAAGAAGTTCTGAAAAAATATCAGGAGGTGAGGGTGGTTTCAACCCTTCTACAATTTCTTTTAGGTTTCTTCGATTACCAAAAGGAAAGTGATCCTCTGAAATACACTATTGCCAAATTCCATCAATTTCGTTTCACTTATTTCCGAACAGCGTACAAAAATGTGTTTTTTTCATGTGAACTTTGAACCCTTTTCACGGACAAACGGTACATTTTGGCACAAGAATAAATTGGGTCCAATCAACTTATTTTGACCTCGTCTACACGGGGTAGCTCTGTGTCCCAGCAATTTTGGGACAACCTGTATAAAATATATCTTTGAAGAATATCGATCTTCTGGCAATGATTCCGCAGAGTTATCTCCACCATTCGCGATTTCCTTCAGTTATTCGTTTTTGGCGATTAGGACTGTTGTTCAGTCCAATGAACTGAATATAAACAACTGGAAGGGAGACGACCGTTCTCTCGAATCGCACAAAGTGTGTCAGTGGTCAGGGGCAGCTGCAACAAAGATAGAATGATTTACGGTAACCTGTCCCTTTTCTACTCGTGTTGTTTAATGGTGGATTGGTGTTTACGTTTTCTTGCATAAAATAATTGAAGTTCTTTAGATTTTTCTCTCTCATATAAACAGGCAAGAAAGTGAAGACATAAGTTCACTGCTTCACTGTCTTTGGTTATGTGAAATATCTATTCATTTAGCGTGTTTTGTTTTATAAAAAGGACTGAATTTGTTGGTGTGAACACTGTGAACTGATTGTTGAGAAGGTTTTTGATAGGCAATGGTGATTTATTGTGTTGCCTTGGGATGCAAGAACAAGCAAGACAAGGAAGGACAAGGAAATAAATTGTCATTCCATGGGTAAGTTGAATATTGTTCAGATTTTTTAAAAATATAGTTCTTGAAATGATGATCATCAGTTAGGTGTACAATGTTCCCAGTCTCAGAATATGTTCAAAAACTATACCTATACTATTTGTTAAAGTTAAATACTTCCATGACTTTTCCATAAACATATTAGGTAATATTATTTGTTGCAGTTTTCTATTCAGACATTCTTGAAATATGGATTAAGGCATTTTGTAGAGAGAGTTAGACTCCATCTAAAACCAGCAAGCTTTGTGGAGAGCATTTGCTGCCAACTAATTATTTATTTTGACATACCAGGTACTCCTAGGTTATTGAAACCAGATGCTGTACCCAGTATATTTCCATTTCCTAAGCATTTGTTACCATAAAGATACTGATCCTTGAGGGAAAATAAGAAAACTCATAGGTACCTAGTTGATTGATAATGAAAAAAAAGTATGTTTGCACCTCTTTGACATAAAAAAACTAGCAAGTAATTTATTTTCCAGATGCATCTGTGGAATTGACTATGCCTTCCAGCTCCCAAGTTTCGAAGTTCATCAATAAAGAAACCCAAACTGTTCTATTGGAGAAGGATATTGTATTGAGAATTGTATTTTTTAAATTTCTAATAGGGATATGTTTGTAGGCAGTGATCTAATGGTAAAATAGGAACCTATGGAAATTATGCTCAAAATGGACCTTAAGTAGTCAATACCATTCAAGAACCTTTTTTCAAATTTTTCCTATCGTTTTTCTTTTCTCTTCTGATAGTGCTAAGACATTGTGCTTCACTCACCCTGTACAATATATTGTGACATTCGAATGAAAATATATAATTTCAATTTTGTATTCATTTGACTTCCTGATCCTGTAAGAATGAAAATGAAATTTCATTTTTAGGTCAATAAAAAAATCAATAATAATTTTCTAATGATAATAATTGATTGCAACATTTCCCTTTTTCCCGTATGAATATTTTTATTTAATCACGTTTACCCTTAAATAAACTAAAAAACAGATAATATTTCAAATAATTCGAGCGCTTAGCGAATATAAGATAGAGAGAGATAGGTATCCGTAAACACTGCGGGTTGCCTGAACAATATTTTTGCCTCACTCGTCGTTCACAGAGGGTCCCTTCCAGTTGTTTATATTGAGTTCATTGGTTCAGTCTGAGGAAAAAACAGATAATTTTGCTCTTATCATGCGATGGTTTTTTTTTCGAAAATGTTTTTTTGGTACTTACGAATTCTTGTCGGAAAAACACGAATTTGATAATGAAAATTTTGCCTTCTTTTCCCCCTTGTATTGGATGCATTTACATGCTCTTTTTATTTTGTCATTGTACACTTTATATACTCATGATGTACTTCAATAACACATTTTAAGATAGAAAATTCAACAGGAAATATGATTTTCATGGCGAGTTTTCCCTATTCAGTGAGCAAGCATACCAGATGACGGCCATTTAATTCATTGGCAATCCAAATTTTTTTTATCGCTTGGAGCGCACGAAAGGGAATCCCTTTAATGTTCAAAGAACATCGTGTGTTCCTAGGGAGGATAGGGACTGGAGGTAAGTATTGGATTTTTTTTAACTTCTGTAGAATCACGCTCTTGATTTTTTGCGCATAAGTTCCGGACACCCCGTATAATCAAAAATCAACAACTAGTTTCATGAATTTTTCGAGGAATATCCTTGCAGTTTGAATATTGTTTCAACTAAGTAACCTGTGTCTTTGGGAATACTTCCTCAGGCAATGAATTCCAGAGCCTAGCCGTTCTATGGATGAAGGAGTCTTGATAAAGTGATGTTCGACATCTTTCGAGGTTGACAACGAAAGGATGTGCTGACTGGGCTTGTCTAGTTCGTCTGACTGGTATTGCTAGTGAAGGGATGATAGCAGAGATTTCTGAAGAACATTTCCCGTGGAAGTATCGATAGAAAAGTGAAAGGTCACCGACCTTTCTACGATGTTCCAATGATATCAAAGAGTGAGTGAGTGTGGCGTCACCCACCAGGCGAATGGCTCTTCTCTGGATGGAATCTAAGAGCATCAGCGTATGTTTTGGTGCTGAACCCCATATGTGGGAACAGTATTCTAGAACAGGCCGTATCTGCGCTTTGTAGATCATGAGAAGCTGTTGAAGTATAAAGTAGCATTTCGCACGGAACAAGAATCCGAGTTTTTGTGAAGCAGCGTTTGCGATGGATCTGACATGATTATCCCATGATACCAGATACCAAATGTCAATAGATTGCTTTGGAATGACATTACACACGCCATTATTTCAAATGATATTCTTCCTTATTTTCACCAAACATGGATAAATCACAAGAAAATCATATTTCTAGTAGACTCATACAGTGTCTTTCAAAAGTATCGGAACGGTCTCATATTTCAGGAACGGCTTGAGAAAAATTCACGAAATTTTCTACAGGGTGATAATTGATGATGTCCGATTCAATGGTGGCATCGGCAATGTTGCCAAGTTTACAGTTTTTCAGATATTAGGAGTAACTTTATTTTTTCAAATGGAATACCCCATTTATTTTTATTGCAATTAATTGAACGCCTCCTAATTACTTGAGTCCCTGAATATCAGATTCGTAATTAACGTTATTTTCGAAATATGACAACATAGCATTTTCGTTAAAAAGTTCTGGAACGGTCCCATATTTCAGAAACGGCTCAGAGAAAATTTATGAAAACTTCGACAGGATGGTTGTTGATGATGCCCGATTCAATGGTGATATCGGCAATGTTGCCAAATCAACAATTTTTCAGATATTTAGGGTAACTCAATTTTTTCAAATGGAATACCCTATTTGTTTTCATTGCAATACATTCAGCGACGCCTCATTGCCCTCAATATCTGAATAACTGTTGATTTGGCAACATTGCCGATATCACCATTGAATCGGGCATCATCAACAACCATCCTGTCGAAGTTTTCATAAATTTTCTCTGAGCCGTTTCTGGAATATAGGACCGTTCCAGAACTTTTTAACGAAAATGCTATGTTGTCATATTCCGAAAATCACGTTAATTACGAATCTGATATTCAGGGACTAAAGTGATTAGGAGGCGCTTGATTAATTGCAATAAAAATAAATGGGGTATTCCATTTGAAAAAATAAAGTTACTCCTAATATCTGAAAAACTGTCAACTTGGCAACATTGCCGATGCCACCATTGAATCGGACATCATCAATAATCACCCTGTAGAAAATTTCGTGAATTTTTCTCAAGCCGTTCCTGAAATATGAGACCGTTCCGATACTTTTGAAAGACACTGTATAATAAAAAAAATGTGTCCAACATTGTGTTATATACAGTATGATGCAAATGTATGGAATAAATTCATTTCAAAACAAGACGACTTCCGAAAAAAATCCAAAAAGAAGATTTCAGAACTTTTTTATCGATGTATTTTTTCAACTAGACGACCCTTCGATGTTCAATTCTCAGTAGAAGATCTCTGCAAGATTCAGTTAACCAAATGATAATCCATTTCAATTTCAATCTTCTTTTGCAAAATGTTGACTATTGGATAGACGATCAGTAGACCTTTCAAACGAGGTGTCACATGACCCCTGTTTGTATTTAAAAAAACCGTCCATTACGTCATTACTTCAACACCGGTGACGTAACATCTCTCATATGAATGTCATGAGATGAGGTTTCAAAAATTAAAACACGTGTTTTTGGAATTTCTTCAAATGTCGCCCATTTCTGAAATAATGAATTTATTCCATACATTTGCATCATACTGTATATAAATTGTCCAATGATAGAAAAAGAAGGGCAAAGAAGGTGAAATTTGTAACTTTATAGTGAAATATCTTAATAAATACTGGTTTGTTCATATTTTCATTATCAAATTCGTGTTTTTCAGGCAAAAATACGTAAATACCAAAAAAAATTTTTCGAAAAAAACCCATCGCATGATGAGTGCAAAATTACCAAAAAACATCCAAGATAGATTCTCAGTTAGAACTCGTTTCAAGGTCATAGACGAAGCCGGCAACCCTCTACCCGCGTACAAAGAGGGCGAGGTCTGCTTCAAGGGCCCGTTGATCATGAAAGGGTACGTCGGCGATGCCAAATCCACCCTAAACACAATCGATAAGGACGGGTGGTTGCATACGGGCGACGTTGCCTACTACGATGATGACGGGTACTTTTTCATCGTCGACAGGATCAAGGAGCTGATCAAGTACAAAGCTTTCCAGGTACGTACGGACAAAGTTGAATCATCTAAGAACCTGTTTTGTCTTTCCACTGGAATTTTGTACAGGATGTGCCTCTTAAAATTGAACCCCCAACCTTTTGTTTTGAGAGATATGAAAAAATATTGGATGAAATAGTTGTTCGACACGACCCAAACTTGCATTTTGTATAGTTGTTTTATATACATGGTGATTCGTTTTTCCAGAGAGAACATTGGAACACCCTACTTATTGTTTTTTTGACATGTCGATAGAGCATTGTTTTCCAATTCCAAAAATATTAATGAGTTGCATATTTGGATAGAAAATAGTTGAGTTATTAATGATCAAAGTTTACCAGAATGCGATTTTACTAAATATACTGCACGCTAGCACAAACCACGCCCACCGTAATACGTCATATCTCCAAACATCACCGATATACTCGGAGTCAGCACATCGCACTAAATATACTGTGCTCCAACGCGAGAATTCACTTTTTATGATTTTGACACGAATTCGACTGAAGCTCTCTCGCTGTCAATCTCTTGTATGCAGTAAATTTATATACCCAAACGGTCTACTGGTTAGCGCTGTCGACTCTCAGTCTGAAGGTCCATGGTTCGAATCGCTGTGAACTTGAACTTTTTTTGCAACTTTTTTTCACCAATGTTTTTTTACTTAATTCTGGTTTTCCTTCTTCAGAAAATATTTGAAGTCAAATAGGTTAGTGCGTTTAGGATAAACAGTCTCATTTTATTCAATTTTGTTGAAGAACTTAACTTTTGATTGTGTTTTTACACTCCATTCTGGTTTTCCTTCCTCAAAAATATTGCAATCAGGAATAGGTTGGTTCGTTGAGGATAAATAGTCTCTGAGTTTTACCTAAGTAAAGTACTTTGAAGATGGGATATAACGGTGGGCGTGGTATGTGTTAGCGTACAGTATATTTAGTAAAATCGCTACCAGAATACCTCTTTGTGTACCTTCACTTTATATCACCTAATGACAGTTGAACATACTGGGCTTTGAAAGAACGTTATTTGAGCTCCATGGAAATGGCATGTCATTGATTATTATAAAATTGAAAACGTTCAATTCAATTTGAAAAAAAAATATGTTAGTTTGAATGAAAGATGCGGTATTTTGGTAAACTTTGATCATTATTAACAAATTTTTATTCGAATATGTAACTTACTCATATTTTTAAATCCTAAATAAAATAATCCTCTATCGACATGTTGAAAAATATATAGGGTGTTCCATTAAAATAATCACAGTTGACGTCCTTTCTGGAAAAACGAATGACCCAGTATATAAAAAAACTTTACAAAATGAAAATTTGAGTAATTTCAAACAATTTTTTCATTCAATATTTTCTCAGCATCTTTATTTTGGTTGCGCAGAAGACTGAAACGTCAGTCATTCGTGGTCAAGTCATTGAATAGCAAAAAATCTTGGGTATCTCCCATGCAGTAATGAATTCGCACCTTCGAAGTGCGCACCTGATGTTATGTTAGATATTTGTCATTTTCATTTCATCATCTAAATAGATAGATATACAGGGTGTCCGCTAAAAGGAGGTCAATCCATTAACCATATATTCCTTGAACAAAAACAATATGAGTTTCTAGATACCATTTTTCTCTTTAGCCCTTCATATTCGATATACAGGGTGTCAAAGTTGGAAATTAAAATCTGTTTTTTTTAATTACTCGCGTATTTATCAAGATATTTTTCTCAAAATTGGTACATTACTTCAGCACAAAGAGTTACATCGTGTGAGGAAAACAAAACAGAAAATAACTTTTTTCATAAACAACTTTATTAATAGCAAAAAACACATTATATAAAAATATGAAATTAACATTCATAATGGTTATTTATTGTAACAGTACGGGCAGCACGAGAGATTCTGTAATCATTATTAAAAATAATAAAAAAAAGTTCTCCAAATGCGCTCTGAACCGCCGACCTTTGGGTTCGGATCCCGCGCTTCCTACAACTGAGGCATCACCATTACTTCGTATTAGTCGATTTTTTATTAATATCATTTCGAAGATTGATCTTCTCTCATTATTAAAAAAAAATCATCAATCCCAATGTTGAGTATGTATCTTATTTGAAAAATTACCTTCATGAATAAATATTCATCAACAGGATCATTCTGCAGAAAATAATTGATCTGTTCAGCATTAAGTATTTTCGAATTTTTACTTCGGAATTCATCCGATTTCCTTTTTGAGGAAATGGGATATGTTGCTATATTAATACCTATTGTGATTGATATTTAGTGTCGATCATAACATGGAATATATCGACCAGAGTGATGATGATTTCATCGAATTTGATAATTCTTGAAATTACAGGGTGGGCCACCAGTAACGCCTCAGTCTCTAGAAGGCTAACCACTTATCTTCTTGGAATTCTTCCTCTCTAGGAAGTTGCATGTCAACATAGGCTACCATTTAAAATTATTTCGAAACATACAGGGTGTCCCCAAAAACCATAAAACACTGAAGTTAAACTTTTTTCTATTGAACACCCTATATATTATTTCATTTCGAGATTCTCCTTGATGAGCTGATTCCAACGACCCATCATACTTGGGGTCTAGCAGTTATAATTACCGAAATATAGGGTGTGAAAAATCGAGATTTTCAAAGTTTCCAAGTATATGTCCCAATTAAATATCAGTAGATAGTTGATCAAAAGTTGAGATAGGGACATGTGAGCCGTTTTGACCAATTATGAATGGTTTAGACACAAAAAATTCTTGAACTTGGAAAATCTCGATTTCTCACACCCTATATCTCAGTAATTATAACTGCTAGACCCCAAGTATGATGGATTGTTGAAATCAGCTCACCAGGGAGAATCTCAAAATGAAATAATATATAGGGTGTTCGATTGAAAATAGTTCAACTTCAGTGTTTTGTGATTTTTGGGGACATCCTGTATGTTTCAAAATAATTTCAAATGGTAGCCTATGTTGACATGCAACTTCCTAGAGAGGAAGAAATCCAAGAAGATAAGTGGTTAGCCTTCTAGAGACCGAGGCGTTACTGGTGGCCCACCCTGTATACTAAAAGGATATGTTCCGAAAACGACACGGTATTATTTCTAATTCTTCTGTCCAGGAATTTTTGATGTGCTATTTCGTATCATTCACGAGACTTAGCGGGTAGCAACCCATTTTTAGCCATTCTAGCTTTTTCCAACATTTCTGGTGGTGTAGAAATAATCTGCTCATCGTCATTGCTTGACATAATTTTTTTAAACTGAAATTGAGGATTATCATTAGAAAATAATCATAATTTTCAAAAAATATAACTACCTGCTTTCGGTTTCGGTGGATAGCTGGATGGATTGATAAAAAAATAAGTACCTACCCACCTAGCTACTGACATTAATGAAATTGTTAATTGTTATTGACACATCGCCTAAGCAAAAAAACAAAGTGATCTATCAACATACCTATGAAAACCGTGCGATCGCTCTCTTTACGCACACGTGTGTAAGGAGAAGCTTACTGCCATTGTTTTGTACAGGGTTATCCATCGAGAAGGCCCACCCCCATCTTTTCCTTATACTTTCACTTAGAAAAAAAAAATGATATGCGGAAATGCAATGCCGCCATGAGACCTTTCTAAGGCATTCATCAGTGGTTATACAGGGTGATTCCTAAGAGCGTGGCAAACCACAAATCAATTTTTTTAAATGGAACACCCTGTTTTTTATATTTTTTAGAGATCTGTGATCTTTTGCGATCATAAATATATGAATATACAGTATGTTATCTCTTACTGTTTTTCGTTGATTAAAATTTCTTTGGTCCAGGACCAAAATTTGTGTGTGATGGCATCAAAATAAATCAAGTGAGCTTTGAAACCGAAACTATCAGACATGTCGTGTCCTCATGTTACCGTCACAAAAAAAAGTTCGAAAACTGTTTAGTTATTTTGTGTGTCGTAATTTGTCGAAATGTTTACAATCGCAGAAAGATATGATATAATGTCTTTATACATAAAAAATAACAAAAACGCTTCAGAGGGTAAACAATTACAAAATTCATCAGGTATGCACGATTTTCGATGTTCTTCGAACATTATAGGAATTTCCTTCCGTGCGCTCCAATAGATGAGAAAAAAATAACGGAAGTCGAATACATTCTCAATCATGGATAACTCTATAGTTGCACGATAAAGATGCCATCCCACACAAAATGTTGTTCTGGGACCAGGAAAATTGTGATTAACGAAAAACAGTGAAAGATAACATACTGTATATTTATATATTTGTGATCGCAAAAGATCACAGATCTCGAAAAAAATATAAAAAACAGGGTGTTCCATTTAAAAAAATTGATTTGTGGTTTGCCACGCTCTTAGGAATCACCCTGTATAACCTCTGATGAATGCCTCAGAAAGGTCTCATTGCGGCATTGAATTTCCGCATATTATTTTTTTTTTCTAAGTGAAAGTATAACGAAAATATGGGGGTGGGCCTTCTCGATGGATAACCCTGTACAATATTCATCACTTACAGTAGTAGTCGTAGGAAAAATAATAATAGTGCCAATATGTTAAAAACAGTTCTTAAAACCCTAATCTGGTAGCATTTTGTATTCGAATTTTCCATGATATTATCACAATGTGTTGTAAACTTCAAGTTACTTTCCAAAGTGAGACCTAAATCTTCACACGTCCTGCTTCGAGTGGATTTATAGTTATGTATTTTTTGTTTACGAGTTTTACTTCTTCTACTTTTTTCATTCGTTAGCTATATTCTTCACCATCAGCTAGTTTCAGGCTATGTATGTACGTCACAGTTTGCCGCCCCGAAAATAAGAAATTGCTTTAATTTGAAAATGAAAACGACTCGGACTTTATCGGTCGCCATTCTGTACAGCGTGGACATAAAACTGGAGAGTTCCGAACTTATTTTATCAAAATTCATCTGAAGGAAACTTCCCCTTTCAATTTGTACCTCAAAACCTGAATCACCGTGTATGCTGAAATTATATTTTTAAAATAAATAAATAAATAAATAATTAATTAATTAAGTAATCTCGAAATTTCGATTTTTTCCATAATAGTCCAATAAATGAAGGAGGAAAAAAAGGCAAAGTTAACATTAATTACGCACTATTCTCATCTTCTGGTTGAATGTAGCTTTTGGTACCTCATGAAACATGAGACAAAGTTTGACTGGAAAACGCGTGCGATGGCGGAGAAAATGGCCCCAATAGACCAGGAAAATAGGTTTTCAGCCAATATCTCCTAAAATATGGCAGTTAGAGATTTTCGGTTAAGATAAAAATTGAAGTTCAGTTAATTTTCTACTAAAATGATCCTTATCATTTTTCTCGAAAATTTGCCCGGTTTCGAGAAAAACGGCACGAAGCGCACCTCGAATAATGAGCTTCCGTGTTGTATGCCGAGAGCACAGTCCGTGTATTTACACATCGGCGTGGGGACAAATTATTCAATAACTTTGTTAAAAATGCATATTTTCTCATGATTCAAAGGTCATGTGAAAGAGGAATTCTGCTGCTATCATACCCTGCGTGGCCGCATGGTTTGTAGCAGACGACCCGAGCGCCACGTAGAGCACACACGCGGCGAACGACGGAGGAACGAAAGTAATAAATTATAGCGTGTACATTTAGATATACTGTTTTTTCCCGGGATATCAAAGGTATGACTTATATACATCGATGGAAAGGTGGGAATTCCCCCGTTACACTAGTTAAGGTGTTAAAATGCTAAAAATAAAGAGCACGGAGGAAAAACCCACCGAAAAAAAAAGTGCGTTTTTTCCTTGACCCCGCTTTTTCTAATTTTATTGAAAAATGGACGACTTCGTCTAAAAAAGTAATTGCACAATCGAAAAGTAGATCTTCTTAGCTTTCAAATGATGTATCATAGAAACCAATCGGATCATCTATACATTTTTAATTGATGGTTGTTCACAAAATTTCCCCGCGCTCCAAAAACAGCAAAAAATTGGGATTCAATAAACAAAGATTGAATGAAAATTAAAAAAAATTAGGGTATACAAATTTCAGGGATGACAAAGGACCTTATGAGGACCCATAATGGCCATAATCAAGAAAATTTTGAGTAAATTAGTGCAATACGAAAAAAAAAATAGGAACAAATTCCTGGCGAGGTCAAAATTGACCGGGAGCAGAAAGTTTGACCCATGTTCCGATATGGCCAAAAGAGTCAAGCTTGACTCAATTCACAGGGTATAATAGCAGCAGAATTCCTCTTTCACATGAACTTTGAATCATGAGAAAATATGCATTTTCAACAAAGTTATTGAATAATTTGTCCCCCCGCCGATGTGTAATTACACGGACTGTGCTCTCCGGCATACAACAGAAGCTCATTATTCGAGGTGCGCTTCGTGCCGTTTTTCTCGAAACCGGGCAAATTTTCGAGAAAAAATGATAAGGACCATTTTTGTAGAAAATTAACTGACTCAATTTTTATCTGAACCGAGAATCTCTAACTGCCATATTTTAGGAGATATTGGCTGAAAACCTATTTTTCTGGTCTTTCAGGGCCATTTTCTCCGCCATCGCACGCGTTTTTCAGTCAAACTTTGTCTCATGTTTAATGAGGTACCAAAAGCTACTTCCAACCGGAAGATGAAAATAGTGCGTAATTAATGTTAACTTTTTCCCTTTATTTATTGGACTATAATTCTTTAGGTAGCCCCTGCAGAATTGGAAGCATTGCTGCTGACCCATCCTGCCGTTCAAGATTCAGCAGTTATAGGACTGCCAAATGAGGAGGCTGGAGAGTTGCCTTTGGCTTTCATCGTGAAAAAATCTGGGAGAAACATAACGGAAAGGGAAATCGAACGATTCGTTGAAGGTATTTAAATATATGTATACTCGTCGAAATTTGGAAAACAGTTTCTATGAACAATAAGATAGTTAATTTTGTATCTAGTCGTTACCACCGATACAACAAGGGGTGACGTCACTTAGTGAGGCCTAACCAGCGGCTCGAAACGACAAGCGCTTATAGCGCTATAAGGCGACCGTGTATTTCGATTTTAGTTTTAGATCATCATTGAGCCGATTTTGCTGTTTTTTGAAGGGCTTCCGGTTAAAAAAGGATGCCTGTCGTCAACTGAGCCCTTCTTCGCACCCCATCCGATTTTATTATGGAAAAACGAAGTTTTAAAGCAAAAACCAGGATAAAACACAAATATCCACCTACAGCAACCCATTCGAATTGAATATATTGGCAAAAACTGTGGTGAAGGTAAACTTCACACCTACTTATACAGGGCCCGCAGAACATAAAATTATCGTGAGATTGATCGAAAGAAAATTGTGGAAAATGTATTTTATTTTGATTGACCGTTTGTTACAATTACCTATATTTATCTTGGAGAATTCCTATTACCTGACAAAATAACCAGTGAGTGTTTTCAATTTTCTGTTGTTGGATTTTTAACCCAAGTGGATCGTTACACTTGAAATCGTAATTTTTAAGGGTAAAACTGCATTTATCATGCGATGGTTTTTTTTTTTGAAATTTTTTTTCGGTACTCACGTATTTTTGTCTGATAAACCGAATTTTATAATGAGAATGTGAACAAACCACTATTTATTGAGATATTTCAAGAAAAAGTTTGAAATTTCGCCTTCTTTCTCCCCTTGTGTTGGGGGCATTTGAAGCTACTTGCTCTTATTTTGTCATTGGACACTTTATATACTCATGATGTACTTCGATGGCACATTTTTATATAGAAAATTCAACAGGAAATATGATTTTTATGGCGGGTTTTTCATATTTAGTGAACAAGCATTCCAGATGACGACCATTTAATCATTAGTCAATCAAAATACGAGATGTCAAATGTCAATAGATTGCTTTCGAATGACATTCCACACGCCATTATTTTGAATGATATTCTTCCTTCTTTTCACTAAATATGGAATAATCTCAAGAAAATCATATTTATAGTTGAATTATGTATAAATTGTCCAATATGATGAAAAAAGAAGGTGAAATTTGGAACTTTTCAGTCAAATATCTTCATGATAAAAAATATCATGATGAATGCAGTTTTACCTTTTTAAGTAGAGTGTTTGTAGTTCATGTTAATGATATGATAGTTGCAATTTGATCATTGGAATGAATTCTGCATTCATTGCCACGAGGAAAATGACCGTTTTCAGAAAGAAATTTGAGAATGAGAATTAAAAATGCCCGTTTATTATGAACATTCAAGAAGATTTCCACTAATTCAGAGATGATTTTGTTGACTATAATATACGAATACAAAACTAACTGCACAATCAAAGATTTTCTATTTTTCCTCTACTTATACTTTTTATGAGAGAGTAATTGTCTTCTCTTATTAATTCATCATTATAAATTAAGCTCTGTTTACTACTGAACTTAGATGGAGTAAAATCCTCGCGGTGAATTGCATATACTTACCCACATTTTCGATAGCTCCTAGTCCAACGGGAAACTAAAAGCATGAACTTTTGAACCACCCACATAATTCCCTCGACAAAAGGGAACACAACACTTGAAAGGCATTGTTATTTCGCTGATCACAACACAAACAGTCATTTTTCCGCCAATTATTTTGATGAATAAACAACATAAGAATTCGGGACCGTTTCAAAAACATACGTGAATCACCGATGAATTAACACGAACTGACGCGTTAGTCGACAAGCGATAAAATAAAACACTGGCCTCTCTTGGCGACGTCACGAGCTGTTTACGTCAGAGTCTGCTGGCCTTGTTGTATCGGTGGTAACGATCTAGTGCGTGAAATGCTACTCAGGTGATCTAGAACTAATCTTTTAACAAGGCGCAGACGAGTTGAAGAAAAAAGTCGAGATTATCAAACTATTTCGCGCATTCGAATTATCTATCATCTTTTTGCAATAAAATGTGTAAACAATTAGATCAAAATTATGGGAGAGTCAAAGTTATTGGCGTTTAATAAGATTTCAAAGCATTAAAAATCAAAAATATTGATTGAAAATACACTAAGTACGATTTGATTCATTTAATTTTTCATCAAGGTGAACCCATTGAAGCAAAAATGTCTTGAGAAGAAACCGAGCTTTGATTGACGTTGCCTAAATTTACATTCTTACAAATTAAAGGACCCCGCACGAAAACACGGGAAATTGGCTCTCGGTCGAATTGGCTGAAATTTTACTATGTTGTTGTGGGATGGCTCATTAGAAAAATATGTGAGTTTGAAAAGTTTTGTATGTTTAGTTTCTGAAATATAAGCCGACAAAGTTCGTAAAAACGTCGTATCGGGGTGGAATTGACAAAGAAAAAAACTGTTTTTTTTAGCATAAATGAAACAAAATGAGCTAGAAAATGTATTGATCGGAACTCAAATGCATGTCTAGTTATGAACACATAAATTATAGTAAATCAGGGTGTATACGAGGCACGGTGAAAAAAATTTTTCGGAAAAAAATTCGAGCACTTTTCCAAAACTAACAAATTATATTTTGGTAGGACATTATAGTTTGAGTCTATTGTAGGCTTCGAAAACGTATTTTGATTCTTGATAACTATCTCTGTTCGAAATATGAATTGTTAAAATTTTGTGTTATACCCCTTTCTGAAAACAATTGAAAGCTTGTTTTTGATCACAAAGAAAGGCATTGATTGATACTGTTGATTGAATAAAAGCTGAGGTAACTCACTAGCGAATTCAGTTGTTCAATATTGCCTTCCATTTAGATACAGGGTGTGTTAGATTTTGTTGAAGATTATTCAACATGTTTTAATTGAATATCTAGAAAACAGTTCCGTCAATTTGGATCTCATTTTACTCACACCATCTTGAATAAAATGTTGACTATCATATGCAAACAGTTTTTCAATTTTTTATGTTTTGTTTCTGAGATATCAATCTTTGAGTTGACAGTTGACAGTATTACAGGTATTATAGGGATCCATATCTCAGAAACAAAACATAAAAAATTGAAAAACTTTTTGCATATTTATGATAGTCAACATATTAAAAATAGTGTGAGTGAAATGAGATCCAAATTAACGGAACTGTTTTCTAGATATTCAATTGAAACATGTTGAATAATCTTCAACAACATCTAACACACCCTGTATCTAAATTGTAATTGTAATTGTAATTGTAATTTATTTACCATTAGCATTACATAATAAATCACAATGCATTTTGTTTATCCTATGAGAATATGCAAAAGGTAAATAAACAAGGAAAACTCACAAAAGGATAGATAACCCTTGTGCGTGAGATGCTCGTTTTTCTTCCTTCTACACCTTGTAGATGTTATAAGGAAATATGGAACTCACAGTTATTCATGGATAAAAAAGATAAAATGATGTAAAACAATAATAATAAAATTCTTAAAAATAATTGTTCTTAAATGACTAGGACATTGAGTGAATAGTAAGTATATAATAAATAATGTATAAAATCAATGATAAGAGATAACAATAACAATGAATAACAATATTGAACAACTGAATTCGCTTGTGAGTTACTTCAGCTTTCATTCAATCAACAGCATCAATCAATCCCTTTTTTTGTGATCAAAAACAAAAATTGATTACCAAAAGGGGTATAACACAATATTCAAAGAATTCATATTTCGAACAGAGGTAGTTATAAAGAATGAAAATACGTTTTCGAAGCCTACAATAGACTAAAACTATGATGTCTCGCCAAAATTTAACTTGTTGGTTTTGGAATAGTGCTCGAATTTGTTTTTCGAAAAAAGAATTTTTTGACCGTGCCTCGTATACACCCTGATTTACTATAATTAATGTGATCATAACTAGACATGTATTTGAGTTCCTATCAATACATTTTCTAACTTATTTTGTCCTATTTATACTAAAAAAACAGTTTTTTTCTTTGTCAATCCTACCCCGATACGACGTTTTTACGAACTTTGTCGGCTTACATCTCAGAAATTCAACATACAAAACTTTTCAAACTCACATATTTTTCTAATGAGCCATCCCACAACAACATAGTAAAATTTCAGCCAATTCGACCGAGAGCCAATTTCCCGTGTTTTCCTTTTATTCTTTTAATCATCTCATTCGATTTTATATTATCAGAAATCTGATATGAAAACTGTTGATTCGTCATATGGATCGCCCTTGACTCGTCAGAATGCAAAAAAATAGCAACTATCTAACAACTTTTTTGAATTTTCAATGGTTTTCAGATAATGTTTCGCCTCAGAAAAGGCTGAGAGGTGGAGTGATATTTCTGAATGAAATACCTAGGAATCCAACAGGAAAGATACTCAGAAGAGTGCTGAGAGAGAGAGCAGTGAAACTGGTATCAAAATTGTAGTTTTCATTTTTGTGATAATTATTCTTGTTATGACAATGCAATTGTTTTTTATTCATTTGGTCAGTATGAATCGGTGTTATGATTTTTTGTGGTTGATGAATTTTAATTTATAATTGATAATATATTTATACTTCTGCTATTGCTTTACTTCATTTACTAGAGATAAGATTCTTCTTGAGTGGTATAAAAATTATTGAATTGTTAATAATTGAAAATAAGATCAAGATCCAATGTTTTGTAGAAGAGCAAGAACAACTATTGGACCCTCCGTTTCTCAAACTAATTTCAAATTATTAGATATTGACAAAAGTGCATTTGTTAAATTACACCCAATTGGCCAGTATTTGCTGTCAACGAATATCACAACGTGTCTGACTTTTCCCATGTGAAATATGGACAATCCCAAAGGTCTCAGTCTCAATTTTACCATTCTCGACTTCATCATAGATTCAACTCTTCAGAATCCCAACAAATATTTCTCTTGGGATTCTCATTGATACTGTCTGTAGGTTAATCGAGGAGGTGGTACATTCATTATTCCAAAATTTTTGGGATTTTATCCTCGTTTATATAAAATAAAAATATGAATATTATTTCAATATACGTGGAGTAAGAACAAATCAGATGATTTGCCCCAACTTATTTGTCACTGTGTATGAAGAATTTTCCTATAAGAGAGCCTAAAAGAAAAATTCACTAGCTTGTCAGCGACAATGGGCTTATATTACAAAAAAATTGTATTTCATAATTCGATAGAACTCACCCAAACTAGCTCACCACCGCAAACCGTTTCTTGCTGTGAGCTCCCTACATTTTATAAAAAAATATTGAAATCCCCGATTTTTCGGGCTTCTGAAAACGAGGCGATGATGTGACGTCAAAACCCTAGTACTGAAACAGGACTATTCCAGACAGAGAGGAATGATACATGATTTCTGAAAGAGTGAATTAGCGCGAGATCACAGTTGAAAGAATTAATATATCAGTTGCCTCAGTCTCCGTCGGGCGTTTGGTATTTTCTTTTAACTATGGCGAGATGAGGTTTCTACGTCATAAGAGGGTCCGTTTTCAGAAATTACTATTATTTATGTCCAAAAATAAAACATTCCAGTTAATTTTTCAATCGAATTATGTCATCAATCATTATTCATGTATAAAAGGATCATTATAAACATGGTTTGAGTTAAAAGTTCTACCAAGGTGTACACGCCCATTTGTATTGAAAAAAGTTTGGAGAAGAGAAATAAAGGTAGGTAGGTATATAGAAAAAATATCAAATTTTCACTTAGCTTTGGACGTTTCGGGAACGAATCTACTCCCGTTTTCAACATGAAAAAATGGTTATTTGAATAAAAAATTCGTATTTGTCTTGAAACTTTTCATTTCTCAGTGACAATTGGTGACGTTGGCAATCAAACGAGTTACAGCATGTTTTCAGATTTCAGTAGTGAATACCATGGTCTATCTATATCAACTAAACAGGAAGCAATGCATGGTATTCACTACTGAAATCTGAAAGTGAAAATGGTGAATTCAAGATTGATTAATAAAAACATCCTGTCCTGTCCTCATTTGATTGCCAACGTCACCAATTGTCACTGAGAACTGAAAAGTTTCAAGACAAATAGGACTTTGCTATTCAAATAACCATTTTTTTATGTTGAAAACGGGAGCATTCGTTCCCGAAACGTCCAAAGCTAAGTGAACATTTGATATTTTTTCGATTTACCTTTATTTCTCTTCTCCAAATCATTTTCAATACAAATTGTCTCTGATAGGAAAATTCTTTACACGCAGTGACATTTTGGGACGAATCTTCTGATTTGTCCTTACTACACATGATATATTGGAAAAATATACAGTATGATGCAAATGTATGGAATAAATTCATTTCAAAACAAGACGACTTCCGAAAAAAAATCCAAAAAGTAGAGTTCAGAACTTTTTTATCGATGTATTTTTTCAACTAGACGACCCTTCGATGTTCAATTCTCAAGAGAAGATCTCTGCAAGATTCAGTTAACCAAATGATAATCCATTTTAATTTCAATCTTCTTTTGCAAAATTTTGACTATTGGATAGACGATCAGTAGACCTTTCAAACGAGGTGTCACATGACCCCTGTTTGTATTTAAAAAAACCGTCCATTACGTCATTACTCCAACACCGGTGACGTAACATCTCTCATATGAATGTCATGAGATGAGGTTTCAAAAATTAAACCTCACGTGTTTTTGGAATTTCTTCAAATGTCGCCCATTTCTGAAATAATGAATTTATTCCATACATTTGCATCATACTGTATATATTTTTATTTCATAGAAACGAGAGAAAATCCCAAAAAATCTAGAATAATGAATTCCCATTGATGTTTCTGCTGTAAAAACTATATAGATTTGAATTGTTGCGCATAGAAATAACGAATTTTTTCATTTTGAATTCAATGATAGAGCAAGATGTCACGAAAATGTGTATATTTCGTAACAATTTTGAAAATTCTACGACTAAAAATCTAAAAAATCGACCCCATTTTACGGTATTTACTCTTCTTCCTCTCTATTCCTAGATTGCATGCGTGCTCTTCAACTGTGGATTATCACTCAACTTTGATTCAGGCTGGAAATTTTTTTCACAGAATCCGTGAAATATGGAGCTATAGAGCACACAAGATGGCTTTGACATGAACAAAACAAATCGAAAAACTTTGTGGATACTGCTTCAGGGACCTATAATACCACGGAAAACAAAATCAAAAGGTCGATCTTTGGTATTCCAACAAAAGTTTTTCCTCGTAGTTCAAAGAAAGTGTGATATGAATGCCCAAACGACTCTCCGGGACGCGATTTTACTAAATATACTGCACGCTAGCACAAACCACGCCCACCGTAATACGTCATATCTCCAAACATCACCGATATACTTGGAGTCAGCACATTGGACTAAATATACTGTGCTCCAACGCGAGAATTCACTTTTTATGATTTTGACACGAATTCGACTGAAGCTCTCTCGCTGTCAATCTCTTGTATGCAGTAAATTTATATACCCAAGCAGTCTACTTGTTAGCGCTGTAGACTTTCAGTCTGAAGGTCCATGGTTCGAATCGCTGTGAACTTGAACTTTTTTTGCAACTTTTTTTTCACCAATGTTTTTTTACTTCATTCTGGTTTTTCTTCTTCACAAAATATTTGAAATCAAATAAATAGGTTAGTGCGTTTAGGATAAACAGTCTCATTTTATTCAATTTTGTTGGAGAACTCAACATTTGAAATATATTATTATTCAATGTGTTTTTACACTCCATTCTGGTTTTCCTTCCTCAAAAATATTGCAATCAGAAATAGGTTAGTTCGTTGAGGATAAATGGTCTCTGAGTTTTGCCTAAGTACTTTGAAGATGAGATATTACGGTGGGCGTGGTTTGTGCTAGCATACAGTATATTTAGTAAAATCGCCTCCGGGACATTACAATAGAACTTCAAGAGAAGTTTGACGACTTTGTCATTGAAACCTTCGATTCTACAATTTTCGACTATTATCGTAAAGGTTCGGCTCTTCAGTTCCTTTTGAGATCCTCATACATATTCTTGCTTTGGAGAAAACTATAGTGTTCGAGTTGATAGGTATAAAAAGACCACTCTTCATTTTTAGTTGATCTAGTTTAGAGACAGAGAACATATTATGTCTTCCCGATCTGTCCTCAATTGTCTTCAGTGTTCCAACGTGAAATAGTGAAAATGTCATGTTGGCAACACTGGAAATAAGGAGAAATTGAGAAAATCATATTAACTTCAATATAAAAAAGATTAGTATGGCCTACATAGAATATTTCATTTTTTTACGTTGGAACACCAAAGACAAGGACAGATGTGTAAGACATATTTTTCTCTCAAGGCTAGCTGAACTGCTTCATTCAATGACAGGGCAATACCTATGTCACAACAGTTTGTACATTGTCGACCAATGTTGAAAAACAAGAATGAAAATTCTCAAAAATTTATTGGAATCTCCCTATTCTATGGTATTTTCTCTTCTTCCTCTCTATTATATCACCTAATGATTAACTTTAGATTATTACTCAACTTTTGATTTAGACTTGATGTTCATGTTTTTTCACAGAAGCAGTTGAAGAAAGGCATCTATGGAGCTATAGAGCAGACAAGAGCGCTTTGACTTGAAAACAAATTGTAAAACTTTCTGATAAAATCGCTTCAGGGTACCTACCGCTCAAAACATCATAATAAAGTCAATCTTTGGCGTTCGAAATGAAACAACAAAAGTTCCTTCAAACACTATATTGACAGTAATTCAATTACAATTCAAGGAAAATATTCTTTGGCGTATTTTCCTTTATGCCTAGGCAAATGAGGCCTGAACTTTCTAGGAATATAGATTGGCTGCCTATCGTCCAATGTCCTCTTGAAAGGATCCTGCAGCAGCTCAAAAGGCCTCAACTTCTTGTCCATATGCCTCGTTTTATTATCGATTTTATAAATCTTCTCCCAGCTGTAAACCTCATAGTCCAATTTGAACCTGGGACGATTGGACACAAGAAACTTGTACTCCCTCTCCAACCACTGTCTCTTGTCATCATCCGCATAATCAGCAATAACTTTTTCCTCGTGGTTCAAATAAGGCGTGAGATTGATGCCCAAACGACTCTCAGGGACATTACAATAGAACTTCAGAAGAAGTTCGAGGATTTGGTCAAAGAAACCTTCGGTGCCTCAACAAATATTCTTTTTGGGGTTCTCATTGCCGTCCTTTGTGTGAAAAACTATGGTGTTGAATTGATAGGCATAGAAACATCACACTTTTTCATTTTTAATTCAATGGGGGCAAGATGTTACAATAATTGTACTCTTTGGATCAATTCTGAGAAAAACTTCCACTGAGAAATTTCAAATGTCGATTGGAATCTCCCCGTTCTATGGTATTTTCTCTTCTTCCTCTCACAGCCACCCACTCATTTTAACTTTAGATTATTACTCAACTTTGATC